TTGTGTTTGTTGTTGTTGTTGTTGTGGTTGTGGTTGTTGGTGTTTGTGGTTGTTGGTGTTGGTGGTGTTGGTGTTGGTTTTGTTGTTGTTGTGGTTGTGGTTGTTGGTGTTGTTGTTGTTGTTGTTGTTGTTGTTGTTGTGGTTGTGGTTGTTGGTGTTGTTGGTGTTGTTGTTGTTGTTGTTGTTGTTGTTGTTGTTGTTGTTGTTGTTGTTGTTGTTGTTGTTGTGCTGCTGTTGTTGTTGCGGCTGCTGCTGCTGCTGGTGTTGTTGTTGTTGTTGCTGTTGTTGTTGTTGTTGTTGTTGTTGTTGTTGTTGTTGGTGGTTGTTGTTGCTGTTGTTGATGTTGTTGTTGTTGTTGTTGTTGGTGGTGGTGGTGGTGGTGGTTTTGGTGGTGGGGTTGTTGTTGTTGCTGTTGTTGTTGTTGGTGTTGGTGTTGGTGTTGGAGTTGTCGTCGTCGTCGTCGTCGTCGTCGTTGTCGTGGTTGTCGTTGTTGTTGTTGTTGTTGTTGTTGTTGTTATTGGCCTTGTTATTGTTTTTGTTCTTGTTATTGTCGTTGTTGTGGTTGTTGTTGTTGTTGTTGTTGTTGTTGTTGGTATTGTTCTTGTTATTGTTCTTGCTATGGCTCTTGTTGTTCTGGTTCTTGGTCTTGGTATTGTTATTGTTATTGCTCTTGTTGTTCTTGGCATTGGTATTGTTATTGTTATTGTTATTGTTGTTGTTGCTGTTGTTGTTGTTGTTTATGCTTTTTGTTGTTGTTGGTGGTGGTGGTGTTGTTGTTGTTGGTGGTGGTGGTGCTGGTGGTGGTGTTTTTGTTGGTTTTGGTTGTTGTTTGTTGTTGGTGGTGTTGGTGGTGTGATTGTTGGGGTTGTGGTTGTCGTTGTTGTTGTTGTTGTTGCTGCTGCTGCTGGTGTTGTTGTTGTTGTTGGTGTTTGTGTTGTTGTTGTTGTTGTTGTTGTTGTTGTTGTTGCTGCTGCTGCTGTTGTTGTTGTTGTTTTTTGTTTTTGCGCTTGTTGCGCTTGTTGTCGTTGTTGTTGTTGTTGTAGTGGTTGTCGTTGTTATTTACCTGTCATTTTTTCCTTGTTCTCGTTCTTGTTATGGTGGCGGTGGCGGTGGTGTCGGTGGTGATATTGACGGTGGTTGTTCTTCTTTCTACCATGAGTGTCTTTTCTTCATATCAGTCTTGTTGCTAACGCGGTTATGTGGCCACAGATGTCATAGCGGCAAGAGGTTCATGGCCATGGTGATGATGATGTTCACTATGATGATAGTGGTGAAGTAGTAATTCCGAGTGTGAACTATACTAATTACTGATTGCAAACAGCTTTCTCGGTGTCCTGGCCATTTTTACCGCCTTGAACGACCGCTACTGTATCTCCACAAATATTGCAGAAATACAGCTGTTTACAGATTCTTTGACCTCTGCCATGTGGCCGCAGGACACAGGCTAGAAGTCTGACAGAGAGCGTGCGATTCCGTCAACCATGAGTGTTGTGAGCGCCAGCATCGTGGAGCCAGCATGGAAGGTCACGTCGTCCTTCGCCCCACAGATCTCAACCAGTACCTGTGATGGAGATGAGGTTGAGGGGTCGATGGGGCGTGCAGTTACAGGCTCCACAGATTGCAGCGAGGAGTCCACAACAAGGCATCAGCGGCTGTGGGCTCGTGCCCTGGACTCTCGCTGGAAGCTGTCTCGCACGGATTTCAAGATGAAGAAGGAGCTCAGCAGGACTCTGAAAAGCACTCTGTACCAAGCGACCTGGCAAGGTGTCGATGTCGTGGTCAAGTGCGCCGGATTGCATGACGACGAAACTTCCAGACAGCTTCAGTCCAATCAGGATTTACAGCCTGCCAACGGCAGGCGCAGAAACGGCGACGACCAAGAAGACAGGGGGATTTCCGACGAGCTATTGCACGAGATCGATCTTCTGTCGTCTCTGCGACATCCTGATCTTGTTATGTTCCTTGGGGCTTGCATCGATCCCCATTTGCCGATCATGTGTGTGACAGACTTCTTGCCTGGTGGTGACTTGGAGCGCTACTTCATGTTCCAACGCAAGAAGCGTGATGTGGCGATCTGGCGCCCCAACCTCCCTCAGATCCTTCAATGGAGTTCTGCTATCGGCCGGGCACTGAACTATCTGCATGACCGTGATGTAGTTCACCGTGACCTAAAGCCATTGAATCTGCTGTTGACCAAGCATTTGGAGATCAAGGTGTCTGATTTTGGCATCAGTAGATTGATGGCTCGGGAGTGCGACGGATACTCAATGACTGGAGGGATTGGCAGCTGGCGCTACATGGCGCCTGAGGTGGTGAGGCACCAAGCCTATGACCAGAAGGTGGACATCTATGCATATGGCCTCATCATGTACTTTATGAGCTCTGGGAAGGCTCCCTTCCACCAACTTGGCCCCGATGCCGAGGCCATCTTGCAGCAGTACATTCGAGGAAAGGAGCCGCGGCCCGCTCTTCTCGACTGTCCCACGAAGCTGCGCCCCATCATGGCGGCTGCATGGCATGTCAACCCTGCCGAGCGACCGTCTGCTCAGGATGTTTTGGAAAACTTGGACCTTGTACAAACCTCGGTGTCGTGTGCACCATGTGCCCAGATGTAAAGTAGTTTTGGCTGGGCGCAGGAGCAGTGAACCATACGGCTGCATGCTTAATTCAGATGAGTTTGGGATCTTCAGCGTTAGTAGAACCCCTAAGTTCCCAGATGTTCTGAGGTGGCATGTCTTGTATAGCATAGGTGGCTGTACTCAGAATGAAGTGCAGTTTCCCGTTTAAGCATCCCTATCTCTTCAGTGGAGAAAGGGACCCTCAACAGTGCATGACCCAGCCCTCGAGTCGTCCTTAGGGCGAACAGATGCCACTAGGTCATGGAATTCGCAGCGACCGGGCATCGGACCAGGAAAGCTGATAAGACCTTCGTGCTCGTTCAGAAACATGGATGTTTTGACGGTTTGTTCCGGTCCGTGCCTGTTTCAAGCTCGACTGTTCTGTTCATCTGCCCTTACACATCCCTTCATTGCATACCTTTTCGAGTGACTTTTCGAGAGTCGGCCAGTGGAGGATGGGGCACACATGTCCCAAGTCTGAGCGACTGGACAAGGCTAACTGCCTGCGCAAAGCATCGCGCAAGAAAGTCCGTGGAATCCTCGCATCTTCTCTAGCTGACGACCTTGTGGGATGCTTTCTCTCCTGCTCATCTCTGTTGGATCTGCAGTTTTGATCCCAAAGCATCAAAGTGAAAGACCAAAAAGTCGTAATTATGCTTGTTGCTAGCTACTATTCTCTCGGACCACCGGCAGCGTTGCAATCAGGAGTGTTAGTGCTCGCCACACTGTCATGACCCGTACTACGGTTTCGCGTGGCTCTCTTTCTAGCCAGTGTGGCCGCGTAAGCGAATCCCTTTGCGACTGCCTTGCATATATCCTACCGACTCCTGCAAAGTAAAGCCCAAAAAACCCCAGAGTGAAGCCAAGCTCAGGGGTGGTCCCGGAGTGATGGGCGCGGGTGGCATGCCGGGTGCTGGCATGCAGCCGGGGACCTCAGGGCTGAAGGATTTCCATAGAATCGAAACTGTACCTCTATAGTAAACGTGCAGGACTGTCCGATACAATACCATACTAGTCTGTAAGACACAAAGGAAACCGTCACGGTTCTATACCGGACGAGACTAGACAAGGCTACCCTAGTATCATACTACCTTCTGTAATAGAAAACATGAGACTGTCCAACGGTGCAACATAATATAATATAACAACTATGCATTAGCAATGACGTAGTGCGAGATGCAATGCAATACACTATGCAACATCATGTGCAATACAGTAGACAATACATGATACAGCTTTACAGAACAATCTACAATAAACTTTACAATACAGGATATAGTGCATCATAAGATCCGATCTAGCACAATGTAATATACCCAAATGTTAACATGTAACGTGCTACCATAAAATACAGTGTAGAATGGTATAGCATGGTGGTTAAACCATTATTATAAGTTATACCAAGAGCGATAATATGTTGTGTTATAGCATAACATGACATAGCATAGCGGAATATAATTACTTTAATCGACTAGACTATACTAGAACATAGCAGAATATAAAACAGCATTATGCAGCATACCACATCGTAAAATATGCAGCGTGAGATAAGGTAATATGCAGCATGACAATATGAAGCGTTTAATGTATTTTGCTGCTTCTTAACCTGTTTGTTTTATGTATACCTGCTTATACCTGCAACGTTTTGATTTGCATCAGAGTTTGATACCACATAACATGATATGAAGAATGATGTAACTTAGTTTATCAGAATTTATTCCCCAACAGCGGATACGCT